ACAAGTGCTTGATAGGGGGTGTACCGCCGCTGCTCCCCACACTGGATGTTGATCTGGAATTGGTGCTCGTCTGTGGCTTCCGTTCTGGGCTGGCTGCTGGATATGGAGCCATTCCGAGTGGTTCCCTGTTGTCTTTCATAGAAGACCCTCCTCCAGTAGGCTTCGAGTTTGTCCAAGCCGCTGCTGGGCATCCCATGTTGAACGGCCCTCGGCTAATCTGCAGTTTGCGTTCGAAGGCTCGGGCTAAATTCATTGCCGTGACCAGGTTAGGTGGGTTCTGCATCTCTACATCAACTCTCAGGGGTTCAGCTAGACCAGCTATGAACATATCAACCTGCTGGTCTGGGCGTACTGAAGAGGCCCTGGCGAGAAGGGTCTGGAACTACCGCTGATACTCTGCTACGGTACCGGTCTGCTTGAGATTAATGGGTTCCCCCAAAGGGTTGTTTGTTAGTGGGGGTCCGAACCGAAGGAAGCAGTACGACTTGAACTGCCCCCAACTAAGACCTGGTTCCTCCTGCTCCACTCAGGTAGAACCAGAGCTGCGCTTCTTTGGTCAAGTGGAACGCGGCCAAGCCGACCTTGTCCTTGTCATCGGTGCGCTGGTTGCGGAAGAACTGTTCATAGCGGTGTAACCATCCTAGTGGGTCTCCAGTGCCGTTGTAGGATGGAAATTCCAGCCGGCTGTTGGGGCAGCGGTCTGCTGTTCGCTGGACGTCTCCGCCCTGTCCGGACAGCGGCTGTTGGTGGTGGCGGTTCCCTCCGAGCTTCTTTTGTTGTTGGAGAGAAACGCTTCCAGAAGGCGTCGCAGCTCCCGGACATCATCCTTGACCTCACGAACTTCCAAGCAGGTTTCGGCGAGCCTATGCTCTAGCTCGTGGACCCTGGAAGACAGCGGCTCCTGTTCCCCCATGACGGTAGGCTCTGATACCAAATTGTTATGGGCCCGAGCGTAGGATCGCGTCACGGGTCGTTCCGCGGCAGGAACCCTTGATCTTCCCTTGCCTTTGGCCTTGCGCACAGACCCTATTTTGCCTATCTAGTGGGTGATTTGTTCAAGAGACCACCCGAACTCTCCCTTGGGGTGATTTGTCCAAGAGACCACCCAAACTCTCCTCACTCGTTTCTTGACTGGAAAACTGAATACTTTATTTCAATTCGTAGCTCCTTAAATAGGAGATTACAGAAGGGAATTCCTTGTTGGATTCGGCTAGGCTAGGGTAATCCAACTCCAGCTAGAACTCCTAATTTCCTACTTAAACTAAAACTCATAACTCTTACTTAAGAAGATAAAATAAGATAAGGATAAGATAAGGGATAAGGGATAGGATTAAGCTGGCGGCGAGTTGACGTGTCTAGATAAGGGTGGGCCCACCCCTCTGAGTTGTCGTGTGGGCCCCGCTCTACTGCCGCTGTCGGGTGCGTGTGCGCGGCTCATGGTGCCGCTGCCGCACGGTGCGTGCGCGCGGCTCATGGTGCCGCTGCTGTGCGGTGCCAGGCGTGTGCGTGCAGCGCTCTGTCGGGCGGTATGTGCCGCGCGCTGCCCGCCTGCTGTGCGGCGCTGCCGGGCGGTGCGTGCTGCTGGGCGGCCCGCTGTGTGTGCTGCTGCCTATGATTGCGCCGCAGCGTGCTGCCAGGTGGTGTGTCCATAACATTAAAGTATAGAAAATCAACATATTCATGAAAAAAAAAGAAGGAAAAGAAAATTCAAAAAATATAGGGGCTGAACCCTTATTTTTGTTATAGGAAAAGAAGAAAAGAAAATGTGTTGATTAGACAAAATTTTAAGTTCTTCCTTGCTTATTGGTTCAGGTTTTATAGTCTTTGGGGGTTCAATACAGCATTTAGCAATGTTTATATTGATTAAGCCCTAACAAATAAGAAAATAATAAAAAGAAAATAGTATATAAACACACAAAATGAATATTTAAGTTTAATAGTGCCTATTTTATAATTATAATGTCAAAAAATAAAGAATAAAAAAGTATTTTATAATACATAGTACAGAACTGTTTGGCGATTAGGCGAGGCGAGCCTCAAAGGGTGCCTTGACGACTATGGCAGCAGGTTTACAAATAAAAGACCTCAAAAACTTTGTTTGCTCCATACAGAAACAGATCATGTCAAATAAATAAAAAAATAATTAGTTTGCCAAGCTAATTAAATTTAAGAGTATCAGACCAATTCAAAATTTGGATTTTGAAAATCAAGTCCATGGTTTAATTTGATGAATGGAAAAGTACCACTAACCCAACCCATTTATGTGTCTACCTATGTTCTCAAATACAAAAGATAAGTTATAACCATTACAGAACCACAAAAAGTAACTTCAGCGAATAAACACATACTTTTAAGAGACCTTAAATAGGAAAAAATTTAGTTAACTACCTTGTATATAGGTTTTCAAGAAGCCATATCATCTTTTCTGTTTGAATCTTCACCATCATCAGTTTCTTCAATTTTTTCATAACCAAGAAGGAATGACAGAGCAGCAATCATATTCCTTCAAAGTTCAGATTGAAAAACATGTTTCCTGGTTTTCAACAGTGAGAATGCATGCCTCAAAGATGGATGAAGACAGAGGATGCAAAATAAAATAGATATTCCATGTTCTCTTGGAGTTCTGGAGACATGCAATACAGGTTGCATTTTCTGTTCTATCATCAAGCCACCTTTTCATATGTAAGGGGCTCGGTGCAATGGTAAAATCTCATGCTGACAAATGTGAGAATGCAGGTTCAAGTTTGAGAGCGGTGACTTTGTGCAAAAATCCAGTCTACCCCTCCCAAGAACACAGATAGACAGGACTGGCATTGGGTCATGGCCCAATTTTATCATCTCATATATTTTAAGTTAAGAAAAGTGGCATAGGCTCATTACTTGGGCATTTTTGGCATCAAATGGTGCTCCTCAGTTGAATCAGTTTTGAGAAGGCTAGTAGGCACAATTCACTCATGGATTGTTCACAAGTATACAGAGAAGCATCCCCTGCTTCTTTCTGTTCTTTTGCATCCTACTACATGCCCTAGTGATTTTTGCCTATGCTTTGTATAGTTTAGCTCCAAATGTGTAGCACCTAGTTGTACAGGAGAATACTTGTATACACTTTTGGGTTTTGGGTGTTACCAATACAATTATATGTTACTATTTCAAAGAAAAATATTGGTATGCTACACTGGTATAAATTAATAAATTATGAGTGTTCACTTCTAGGGTCTAAATTCTAAAAAGATCTGCCATCTAGAGTACATAATAGGTTTTCAAACTGGATCTGCAATCTGGTTCACTTTTTCTTTCATCACTCTGCTAACCTTAAGATGGCATAATAGTTTTTCCACCAAGGACCAAGACAAAATACATAATATTATGCAAAGAAAGTATAAAACTTCTAGATTTGGTGCAGCCCTAGAGTATATCCCAAATCATCACAAAAACACTCTAGTGGGGAGCTTGCCCACTTTTTAATGAAACATTGCTTGCTTATCAAAAAAAAAAAAAAACACTCTTCACAAAAAATTCAGATGAGACAGTCTTTGTGAAAAAAGAAGAAAAGAAAAACATAGTTCTTCTGTCCTGCTTCATATATGTTGCACTGGGAGTATATCTGGCACACAGTAAGTATTTCGTAATCTCAAATTATGACAAAGGTTTATAGGCATTACAAATATGTAAATTCTAAAGGTTTCAAGGAAATCCATCCACATGTATTCCCTGGATGGTTGGTCATGTTTTAGTCATATGATCAGCAGAGTTGCCAACCTAATCTGTCCATCTGCAATCCAGCCTTCTAGATTGACCACATACTTGTCTGATCAACCCCATGTCCTATAAAGCAGTTAGTTTTACCTCCATGAATTATAGCTGTCATATATATATATATGAACCAACAAGAGAAAAGAACTGTTTATGTCATGTAATTGAGGTCATTGGGGTGGAGAAGGGGATCAGAATACAAAAACCGCATTGGAGCTGCTGCCTCTTCTACACATGTAATAAAAGAAGATCCATCTAGAGAAGTTCCCATTCCAGAAAAATTCATAGTGAGCCTGGGTCCATCATCAAATAAACAAAGCTATAGGTGTCAAATTTATTAGTACCTGTAACTCCACTCTAGTGCAAACAGCATATAGGAAATTACCCACTGTTGATCCCAGTTGTCCTGGGTCTTGGGACAGGTAGACCGTGTACAGTTCTAACCTTTGGCTTTTTTTTGGTGCACAAAGTGGCCGCCCTCAGACTTGAACCTGAGTTTTCACGCTTGCCAGCCCAAGATTTTACTATTACAACAAGTAAATGGCCACTAAACAGCCTAAATACCACAATTTCAAAACTTCATTTAATCCAAAACTACAATAGCTTTTTACCAAGGCTATAATATACTAAACATGCTTCCATAGAGGATTTTTGTTAACAAACAGACACATACAAAGAAGCCAATTCCACAGTTTTAGATTGCATAACAATCATAAAGAAAGCTCTGGAATAATGAAAAACAAAACCAAGAGAGCTCTGAAAGGTCGAAAACAATATCCAAATGAGCTCCAATATATTCGAATAGAAAGCCAAAGGAGATAAATTGAAATTCAATCAAAGCATGAGATTACCCAAAAAAGTCTAAAATGAAAAAAAAAAAAGAACAAAAAAAGGCAGAAAGAGAAATAAGTGAACCTGCTAAAGTAGTTATGTGATAAAGTGGTCTGTAATGACCATCAATGGTAAATCAGCTAAAACCCTCCACCTGTCCAGCCAAGGTTCTCAAGCTGCAATCAACGTGAGGCAGTGATAACATCTTTGTGTTGGCTGGTGCAGTTGGGATTGTAAACCTGGACTCTGAGGTATGTATCATTTAGACTGTGGATTTCCAAATTGCTTTTAAAAGAATGCTACAAAAGAGAAGTCACTTGAAGCTTTACAGATCTAGTTGAAAGATCTATAAACAAATGCCTCTTGCGAAAGCCAGGAAATTCCAAGGTTTGAAAGATCGAAGAACAAAAGAAATTAACTAAAATTGATCATATCCAATCAGAGAAACATGAAAGCATTGTTAAACAAAGAAACAGGGGGTATTGGCTCTTTTACATCCAAGAAAAATGAGCAATGTAGACAAACTTGTAAAGGATCAATTGGCTGAAGCCGAGAACTTACAAGTTACAACAAAGTGTACAGGAAACCAAGCAAGAAAGAGAATATCTAGGAACAAAGCAGTGGCAGATGCAACTCCAACAATGGCAAGATGGACTAGCAGTGGCAGCGGTGGCAAATCTCTCCTCTCTTCTGTGAAATGGAGAAGGGTTTTACAAACGTTTAAACTTTAAAGTGGGCTTTTAACTCAAGCATGCTAGACCAGCATGGTCTACTCAACCCAGTTAGATTGGATCAACCCTGAAAATTGCTGCATTAGACCAAAAGACCACCATGCTATTTTTTTTTTTTACTTTTCTTATTTAAAACTTTTTCCGGTGGTTGTGACAACACTACCACCTTAGGGACACCTATACTGTAGGTATCGAAAAGCTTCTATCCAAAAACCGCCAGCTTGGTGCAGATACGATTTTGAAAATCTGTGTTCCAACCCTTACTAAGACAATAAGCAATGAACTTAAACCTGATATAAAACCTGAAAGTCTGAAACTAATTCTGAGGTATTAATTTCCAACAAACTTGTTTTGAACTGCCTGGCTTTTCCAAACTGGTTGAGTGTTCATCTAATCACAAACTAAAGGCCAATAACCATTGTTGTTGATACCCATACCCATATACCCATGTACCCACACCCATACCCATACATGTACCCACGTACCCATACCCATGCCAACTAAAGCGAAAGGCATTTAAGAAAAGGGAAAAGAGCATGTTATTAGTGATGACACATAGAGAAGTGAATCAGTCCTCTAAAACTGAAATGAACTTGATTAAATTAGAGAGAGAAAAGTAGAGGATAGCAGTACAAAGGAAGAAGATGGAGAAAAGAAGAGGAAGAAGAAAAAGAGTTCGATAATCTCCTCTCTCCCCTCTCTCATCCTTTTGTTAATCTTCATTCATTAAGCTAATTACAAGTATGCCCTTAAGTGGGCAGCTAGCTAAGCAAGAACTCAAGTAAACTTATAAAAAAAGAAATAACAGGCCCATTAACAAACAAATAAATAACACACTACAAGAATAAAAGAATAGATACTAGGGCCCATTTGGCCCAATCTCTCTACACTCCCCCTCAAGCAAAGCATAGATGTCAATCATGCCCAGCTTGCTTATATAGTGTGTCAGCTTCCCTCTTGGAACTCCCTTGGTCAAAACATTAGCCAACTGTTCTTCTAAGGCAATAAATGGCAAGCAAATTTCTAAGGAAACTCTTTCCCGTATAAAATGTCTAGCAACCTCAATGTGCTTAGTCCTGTCATGTTGAATAGGATTATGTGCAATGTTGATAGAAGCCTGGTTGTCACAGTAGAGCATCGTTGGTTTTTCATAGTCAACTCCCAATTCTTCTAAAAGTGGTTACAGCCACAATAATTCTGACACACCATGTGCCATTGCCCTATATTCTGCTTCAGCAGAGGATTTGGCAACTACAGACTATTTCTTACTCCTCCATGAAACAATGTTCCCTGCCACCAAAGCACAATATCTCGAGGTGGATTTCCTATCATCAATACATCCAGCCCAATCAGCATCAGTGTATGCTTCCAGCTTCATGTGTCCATGTTTGGCAAATAGAATACCTTTCCCTGGAGTACCTTTCAAGTAATACAAAACTCTTTCTGCAGCAGCTATATGCGTATCTCTAGGAGAATGCACAAAAAGACTAATAACACTCACTGCATAGGAAATATCCGACCGAGTCATGCAGAGATATAACAACTTCCCAAGCAATCTCTTAAACACTCCCCTATCAGATAAAAGCTCACCATCAGTTGAAGAAAGCTTATGATTGGGAACTATAGGGGTGGAAGCCGGTTTAGCACTAAGTTTACCAGTCTCTGCAAGGAGGTCAAAAACATACTTGCACTAAGAAATGAAGATGCTATCCTTAGGTCTAGCAACTTCAATTCCCAAGAAATACCTGAGATCTCCTAAATCCTTGATCTCAAATTCAGAGTTAAGAAACTTTTTCAGTTTATTGACCTCCTGTGTGTCATTACCTATGACCACAATGTCATCAACATAAACACTCAGAAAAGTCACTAAAGAGTTACTTCTTTTCAAGAATAAGGTATGCTCAGATTGAGTTTGTGTGTAACCAAATGAGACAAGAACAGTCCTGAATCTTTCAAGCCAGGCCCGAGGGGACTATTTGAGACCATAAATGGATTTCTGTATTTTACACACCTTCCCTTGCATTTCCTTTCCACACACTCCCGGATGCAAAGACATATAGACCTCCTCATGTATATCTCCATTCAAGAAGGCATTTTTAACATCAAACTAGTGGAGAGGCCAATCAAAAGTAGTAGCTAGGGACAACAAAACCCAGGCTAAGGTCATCTTAGCCACCGGAGCAAAAGTCTCAAGATAGTCAATACCATACATTTGAGTGTAGCCTTTAGCAACCAATTTGGCCTTAAATCTCTCAATAAAACCATCATAATGATATTTATTGGTAAATACCCATTTACAACCCATTGGTTCCTTCCCTTCTAGCAAATCCACAATATCCCAAGTATGGTTCTTATATAAAGCATCCAGTTCGACCATCATAGCATCCCTCCATTCAGGTTTAGATAGGCCTTCTAGTACAGACCTGGTTATCACATGGGAAGAAACAGAAGCAAGAAAAGAGTAAGGACAGCATCTCCCCAAAATTTAATAGGAACATGGGATACAAAAAAGAGGGATCTGGCAACCTCAACAACGTTCTTACTTTTTTCCACTCCATTCTGCTGTAGAGTGTAGGAACAAGAACTTTGATGAATAACCCCAGAAGTTTCAAGGTAGGATGAGAGGTTCTTCTCAAAATACTCCTTAGCATTATTAGAGCGGAATATTTTGATCCGGGTGTTAAACTGGGTAAGGATAAGTTCATGAAATTTTTGCACAATATTCGGTACTTCATCCCAAGATTTCATGAGATAAATCCAAGTGTAACGAGAACAATCATCAATAAAAAGGATAAGGTACTTATAACCCCCCATAGTAGGCAAATGATATGGCCCCCACACATTAGAATACACAATATGAAAAGGAGAAATGAATCATTTATTGCTTACTAAATAAGACTATCTACAATGCTTTGCAAGTTTACAAGACTCACAATGAAGACTCGATAAAGACACTCCCTTAAACATATTGGGAAACAAATGACTCAAAGTAGAAAAAGACAAATGACCAAACCGAAAATAACATAACATGACTCTATCAACAGACTCTAACAAAACTAACTCCAAGGCTACTCCATGAGGTGGTCCAAGACTCCTATCAGGTGTGTCCAACAAGTATATTCCATTCGCCTCATGACCACTTCCAATCATCCTCTAAGACTTCAGGTCCTAAAAAACACAATGAATAAAAAATAAGGTTATACTATATTTCATGGATTTAGTTAAACTGCTAACAAATAAAAGATTTGTATTAAGTTTGGGAACATGAAGAACAGGGGATAAAACAAGGGTGTCAGAGGTCTTGATATCCTCCTTGCCAGAGATGGGAGCAAGAGACCCATTAGTAAGAGATATTTTCTCTTTACTAGAGAGAAGGTGATATGAACAAAAAAGGTTAGACAAGTTGGTCATATGGTCTGATGCACCATAATCAATGATCCAAGGAATTCTATGATTACCTAAAACAAAAGCATGGTTTGCAAAAGCACGAATATCTGAGTAAATGTAGATGATGATGATGATGTGTTTCCTGAAGAGTGGAATGTAGAGACAGTGGCTTCCAAGTGAAATTCTGCCTTCATTGTTGCCAACTGTTTCATGGTTGACTTTTCTTCACTCTCCTTATTCCCTCCTTCGAGTATTGCGGCAACATTAGCAATCTTAGGCTTTCCTATCTAACCAGTCTTCTTAAAATTGCTATTATTCTTAAACCTGTCCGGTAGAAGATCTGGATGAAGCTTCCAGCAAGTGTCCTTAGTATGCCTCGGTTTCTTATAGTATTCACATATCAACTCTTTCTTCTTAGTTGGACCCTTTGGCTTTATTCTAGCATGTGCAAAGTGTTCTGTAGGTGGGCTCTGTAACTAATGAATCAATTTTTTGTGCTAAGTATCTCGTCATTTGGTCTGCTTCCAAGTGGTCGATGACTCAGAGGCCGAAGTGGAGAACTTTTGTTGGATGAGGACCTGGATGTTGGGTTGACCAGGCCGAGCTGGGGGCAGATTAGGTGCCGAGCTGACTGAGTCGAGCTGGGCAGGTTAGGTGCCGAACTGATTGGGCCGAGCTACATATATGGTGACGAGCTGACCAGAATGTCGAGCTGCCTATTAGGTGCCGAGCTAACCAGAGTGTCGAGCTGCCTATTAGGTGACGAGCTTACTAGAGGGCCGAACTGCCTATTAGGTGACGAGCTTACCAGAGTGTCGAGCTGCCTATT